TATAACCCCATCATTTTGACACAGTTGGTTAGCCTTTTGGTGTTCTCTTTGTCTTTTATGTTTTTTAAATATAGCTTTTAAAGAATATCTGCTTCATAACTACTCATGATTTCTTAAACATGAGTGCCATTTTTTACAATTATGTAGTGTTTACCAGATGCACATGTTAGAACACCTTAAGAAAAGCTCTCTGGAGTCAGACTTTGTGCCTCCCCCACCCTCTGGTCATTGAATCTGAGTCTCAGTCCTCTCATCCGTAAAAGAGAGGAAGTGATGATATGTTTTTCACAAAACTTAACAAAGCAGCACATAGTTGATTAAGATCAAGGACTCAAAATAGACAGCCTAAGTATAAATCTTGACACTGTTACTTAGTTAGGAAAGCCTGGGCAAGTTACTTGACTTCTCTTTGCCTCCCTTGCATCTGTAAAGTGGGAAAACAAAAAGCTTTGCTTTCAGTATTGTTGGAGGACCTAATGCATTCAGTGGTGTTCAGTGCTTAGTCCACAGCAAGTGTTCAAAGTCAGCTGTTACTGACTCTGGGTAGATCTCTCTCCATGGCTGGGCTTATAACCTAAATTTAATTATACAATCACCCCCCTCCATCTCAATGCTTCACATGCAGGAGGGGTGCAGCATTTATTAACATCTATGTATGCACACATTCACAATGTCTGTCAGCAAAACACAGCTAAAACCACTTCCTAAGATGGCAAATGACTATATGCATAGAAACAAGATCGGAGCTACATCTCTGATTTTATCCAGAGTCTATGTGTCATCTCCTGTTTAGCTTCTTTCTCCTCACTTTTGGGCTTCCTTGGTGGCTCAGATAGTAAAGAATCGGGTTTGATCCCTGGATCAGGAAGATCCTTTGAAGAAGGGAATGGCTAGCCTCTTCAATGTTCTTTACTGGAGAATTCCATGGACAAAGGAGTCTGGTTGGCTACAGTCCACGGGGTCACAATGAGTTGGACATAACAAAGTGACAAAAACACTTTTATTACACACTTGTATTTGACAAGTTAACATTACATACATTTAAGGAGGTACAACAAGATGGTATGATATGTATTTAACCTTCTGTAGGGGGAACACAGGTGAATTTATGAAGAATGAAAGCATGATATTTATTCATAACAGAAACATTATACTATGACTTTGTATCTAAACCCAAAAGTGTATATCCCAAAACTGGTTCTTTGGGGCTCTTTTTATTAAAGACTTTCAGTATGATCTTTCAGCAATTTTCAACTTTCATGCTTTCATTCTTCCTTTTTGAGACCAAATCACTAGACGATGTCCACCCTCCCTGCTGCCCACTGGTTTCACAGGTTCTCATACTCCTCATTACAGCGTCCAGTTGGCAGTAGTGTTTAAGAAAGATGTTGTCTAGGGACTTTTCTGGTAGTCAATGGTTTGGACTCCGCACTCTCACTGCTGAGGGCCTGGGTTCAATGCCTAGTCAGGGAACTAGATCCCATATGCCACAACTAAAAACAAGATCCTGAGTGCCACAACTAGAGATTTTGCATGCTGCCTGCATGCTGCAACTAAGACCAGTCACAGCCAAATAAATATGTTCATTCATTCGCTTGTTTTAAAAAAAGAAAGATGTAGTCCACACTAATTATTAAATGTTGTTAACAATCTGCCCGACTTTCCTTGTGAGGCTGGGTCCAGACACCCTTAGGACTGCTTCTCTTTCTTGGCAGTGGGAAGAACACGGGTCTTGCAGTAAGGCAGATGACAGAATTCTGAAACTAGTTGTTTCCCCATTTTGCAGGATTTTTAAAACGATTAAGTGAGGAAGTACATGGACCATTTAGTCTAGTTTGCCATCCAGAGGTATGCAATGATCCCATCTTTCCCTTCACCCTCCAGATTCAACACACTGATACCTTGGGACCTGCTACTTGCAATCATTTGTGCAGTCTCATTTCATTCCATTGTGTTTCAGAAGGTCCCACCAGCATTCTCAGTTTGAAAACCACTCCCTACCCCTGGGCACCAGGAAGAAACTGTCCAAGGGACTAAGTGTCCAAAGGACTAAGGCTGTGCAAACTCAGTGGCTTTCAGATTCATGCTTTTGGAACACTTTGTTCACGTGAAATCGCTCTTGGAAACCTGGCATAAACAAAATAGGTAAAGAGGTCATTTTATTCACATTTGTTTATTTTATAAATTCACATCTATAATTGAACTGAATTCAATCTATAATTAAATGCAACCTATTAATGTGACATTCACAACTAGATGCTTTGATGACGCACATGAGAAATCTGGGGTTAGAGATGACAGCTGCAAACTCACCAACCACAGCATTGAATTCTGCCTCTTGTTTTGATGGCACAGAATCAATAAATTCCTATTCACACAGAAAATAAAAACCACCGCTCCTGATCTTCATGATTAATATAGGGCCAAACTTACCTAACTGGACATCCTTGGTGGCTCAGATGGTAAAGAATCTGCCTGCAGTGCTGGAAACCTGGGTTCGATCCCTAGATTGGGAAGATCCCTTGGAGAAGGGAATGGCAACCCACTCCAGTGTTCTTGCCTGGAGAATTCCATGGACAGAGGAGCCTGGTGGGCTACAGTCCATGGGGTTGCAGAGTCGGACATGACTGAGTGACTAACACACACATACACACCTGAAAACTACCTATGATGCATCATCACATCGGACACCTATACTGGCCCCCTACTATCACACAAGCCGACATCTGAACGAGATCTGATCAGCACGTGCACCTGAGCCACGCCTGGACGTCCTCTCAGAATATCACATGTGTATAGTGATGACACTTTCTGTACAACTGTCAGTGACTAAAAAACAAATTCATGGGCTACACCCTTCTAGTCAACGACTAGAGAGACATTTAGGAGACAGTACATAGGCACGGAAATGATTATACTAAGAACTGCACAAACATGAGCTACTTGGTAGCACAAGATTGGTTAATGTCTATCACTGAACATACAGACTATTCTGCCTCTGTGCTCTGCTTGCTGAAGATGGCCCTTCCTGATTTCCCAAGATTCAGGTGAAATGTCCCTCAAGTCCTGCCTGGAGGAGGGCATCCTCCTCTTCAGCTGCCTCTTCATCCTTTATTAGTGTCAGTAACTCGAAGAAGCCTGCCTGCGCGGTGTTCCGTGGACTGCTCCAGCAAGGACCTGCTCCACGCTCACTCAAAGGCTCCTCTCTCTACCAGTTTCTGTAGTCAAGTCTCCAGCCTTAGTACCTAAGCAGACAATTTTCTCCCTCCTTCTGGTAAGTGGTCAGGTATTTGACCTGCAACTCCCAGAGCCTGCAAGCATTCAGGAGTTGTGATTAAAGGATTGTTTATCTGGAGGACACAAATGATACTGGATGCTGGGTCTCTAAAGCTCTCTAGCAATCGCCTTCTTTTTTCAGTATCTTACGTCTTTCATATCCTCATAATTTGGGTAATATGAAACAGCCAGGATTCAAACTCTTCTTCTGGCTCTGGAGGATCACTGCCTGAGAAAACTTTCAGTTTTTTGTATTTCAGGTGTTGCAGGGCAGGCTGAAGAGCCTCAAGAACTGTCAGCCAACAAAGGGGCCCGCATTCCTAGGATCACATCCTAGTCTAGATCAAAGGGTCGTTTCCACACGCAAGAGCTCTAGTAAACTCACCCTCACCCTAACCTAACAATGTCACGCCCTCCCCCTCTAAGAGTTCATTTAATCTGCTTAAAAATTCACTATCTGGATTTAGGGGGCTTAATGATCCCTCTTCAGGCGCCCCCGCCTCCGGATATCTCCTTAGGGACCAGAGCAAGACTTGTTTCCTCAGTAAGTCCTACTAAGGCTACATTCCTGATCTCGTCCCCGGGACGATGTCCCGAGGAGTCGGTACTCCCCCAAGGGGGCTACACCAGTTCGCAGATTTCTGCCACATCACAGGTCTGGGCGATGCCGGCAACCAAAGGCGCTTTCCGTGAGTTCACACCCATCTCTCTACACCAGTCTCCTAAGAGCCTCAGCGTCATGGTGCCCCAAACAACAGATTTAAATTCCAATTTTTCCCACACCACTGACACCACAGCAATTCACAGTATTTCTCCGCGGTACTAGAGTTAAGTCTGGTCAACGTCCGGAGTTTCGACGGGCTGCGAGGACGAGGCAGTCAGGTCAGTGTGAAGGTATCAATGAATGACCCGAGACTCGAGCCCGGAGAGGGCCCACGCACCCGCGCCTGCGACCAGTCCCACTGCGGCAAGGAGTCACCGGAACCTCTCGGAGTCTCGGGTCTAGCTGTCGGTGTCTGAGTCCATCGCCTTCAGTCGAGGCACCAGGGCCTGCTCGCGACGCTTCCCGGACCGCTAGGCCCGAGGAACGCTAGGGCCGGCCTCTTCTCCACTCGACGCACACCCGAGGGGGATAGCAGAGGCGCGCCGCGGGACAGCTGACCGCCCGACGCTGCGGGGTTTTCCGCGGGGCGAAAAAGCTGGGGAACCAGAGCTGCGAGAGAAGCACTAGGGCGAAGCTTTGAGGAGGGCTGAAGCTACCAGGCCCGGACGGCCGCCCACCAGAAGGGGGTCTTGGTCACCACCCGCGCCTCCGCAACTTTTGCCAACGAGACAGCTGGAGCGATTGGAGCTCGCTGGAGGCGGCGTTGCCGCGGCCTGACGTCACGGGGAGGGGGCGGGGCAGCGCGCTTCCGGCCTGAGCCGGAAGCCCCGAGTGTGGCAGCATCCGGGACGGCGGGCAGGCGGGCCAACCCGGAGAGGAGGTGAGACCCGGGACCTGCCCAGCTCTGCAACCTCGGCCGGTGGCCGCTGCCCGGCACTGGGCTCTCGGCGCTGCAAGGCGGAGAGGCCCGGGTGTGGCGCCGCCTGCGCAGCCCTGGTCGCGGCCAGCGGTCCCTGCTGCGCGACAGGGGGCGGGGCCGGCTGCAGGGAAGGCCCAGGTGTCGGGGGAAGCCTCCCGGCTGGGCCGAGCAACACAGGCTGGAGCTCGGGCAGCAGCGACGGGGGCCAGCCCGCCGCGTGACCGGCTGCAGTCACGCTGTGCTTAATCACACTTAGTCTTTGCTCCAGGCTGGCCGTGCTCACCATTCTCCCAGCCGGTGACCCCGGGGGATTTCTTTTATGGTGGCTTTTTCTCTGAAATGCCAAAGCAACCCGATTATTCAGAACTGAGTGACTCTTTAACGCTTGCCGTGGGAACAGGAAGATTTTCGGGACCACTGTAAGTGTTTAAGAGTTACTGTCTTAACTTGGGGGCTCCGACATAGGTTTGACTTGAAGAACCAAGCGTTCATGTCTGCAGCTATACTATTAAATCAGAAAATATCTTAACTGTTAACAGTGAAATGTTCCGTAGGAAATTAATTTAATTACAGTTTAAGGGGCGGTGTGCTGGACCTGTTTAAGTCAGATATAGTGATTTATCTGTGGGCTTCAATAAAAAGCATGCTCAATGTATAATGAAACTTTATCATATCTATTACATAAAACAACCTGTAAGTTGTTTACATTTCTTAATAGATGTAAATTTAGTTATTTAAAACGTCAAAAGTGCATAATGGGGTAGAGCTCACTAGGGAAAAAAAGTTAAGTATATTTGGAATAGTTGCCATGACAGCATTACTAGACCCTAACTGAGTTGTTGTTTTTAATTGGAAGGCACAGAGCATGGAGAATGATGAATTTCCGTCAGCGGATGGGATGGATCGGAGTGGGACTGTATCTATTAGCAAGTGCAGCAGCATTTTACTACGTTTTTGAAATCAATGAGACTTACAACAGGCTGGCCTTGGAACACATTCAACAGCACCCAGAGGAGCCCCTTGAAGGAACCACGTGGACACACTCCTTGAAAACTCGGTTACTCTCCCTGCCTTTTTGGTTCTGGACAATTGTTTTTCTGATACCTTACTTACAGATGTTTTTATTCCTTTACTCTTGTACAAGAGCTGACCCCAAAACGGTGGGCTACTGTATCATTCCCATATGCTTGGCAGTTATATGCAATCGCCACCAAGCATTTGTCAAGGCTTCTAATCAGATCAGCAGACTACAACTGATTGACACATAAAATCTGTCATCATTTTTTCCAAGTACAAAACTGCCAGTACGATATGGAGCCTGATCACAAGACTGCAGTTTCTTCACAGATCTCAGGAAGTTGTGGTGGGGCAGAAGCTTTTTAAAGAATGTGGCTAGGGGGCTAACTTTATCTGAATAATGAATTTTTAGGTAAAGACTGAGAATCAGTACTACAAAATCATGTGGATGACTTCAGATTTTGGAAGTAAAATTTTATCTGTTATTTGCATTCCTTAGAAACTTGAATAAGTACCTGGACTCATATTTTTATTTTACTGTGCAACATAGTGATAATTCAGAAAATTTTCCTTTGGGGAAAAACGAATATGAACATTTCCATTGTGCTTAATGTAAAAAGGTCCAAACATGGTCATAAAATTTAAATTTTATACAATTACTTGGCTTGCTTTAAAATTCTTCAAACTAAAACACCAGTTCATCCCATTGTAGCTAAGGCACTGTGCTCGTTTGCTATTAGCTTGTGAGAAATTGGTATGAAATTATTGAGGTGATGGGTGTCTTGAGAAGCAAAATGTGTTCTTCCTTTTGGTAATGCTATGGGTTCTATCCATTAGCTAGAATTATTAATGCAACTTAAAAAAAAACTACTTGGGGAAAGACAATGTTTGAAAGCTGAGCAATCTAACATATAGAAGATGGAAACAAGGTGTTCAATGAAAATAGTCCAGTCCCTGTCAGATGTGTGCTATCTGAACGATGCTCTCAAGTCACCGTCCCTCTGCTTTTCTTTTCTGCCTAAGGTCGAGTCTTCAGGCGACAGGTTAACTGCGTGAAGATGTGATCCCTGCACTGCCTCTTTTGCATTTGTACTCACTACCTCATGTCTGGTAACAATACAAATAACTGAAAAATGGAAAACTAGATTTTAGGATTTTTTTTTCTTTTTTTCTGGGTGAGATCAAGATATATTTTTATAGTTATGTCATCAATACCAGAGAAATGTTTTACACTGATTTTTAATAAGAATCATAACATTTTTTGGTGCTTCTTCTCTTGGGCTCTAAGAGCTTTAACATGAATCAACTCATGTAGTCCTCCAACAGCCCTATGTTATTATTATCCAGATTTTACAGATAAGGACAGTGAGCTGCAGTTCTGTAACTTGCCGAAGGCCACACAGCCAAGAAGCAAAGCCAGAGTCTAACCCGGCATCTGATGCCTTTACTCCTAATCCCTGAGCTGTAGGGCTTCTCAGAGATGACAGATGTTTCAGCACTGGGTACTGTCTGCCTAACCATGCTAATAAATGGAAAAGAACTGAGAAAGGTTTTTCTCAATTTGTACGAACCACTGAAAATCAAAAAGTTTCCAAGCAACTTCAACTCAGGTTTGACCAGAATGGAAGGCTGAGCATTCCATCGGAAGCTTTTACTTGAGAGATAAAGCAGGTGCCCTTGTAACTCAAGAGAGGCACAATCAGATTCTTCTCCAGTAGTCTCATTTCTCTCCTTTACTACTTCCAAAGGTCTAGTTACTGAAATGTTTTTTTGCTACAAGATGCTGATACAGAGTCTTCAAATTAAGCAACAGTTTGAAATACGTGTTTTTCCAAGGGTCCAGTAACCAGATCTCTTGCATCTTTTGAGTACTTACTAAAAGTATGCATGGCTGCAGGCAGATTCCTGAGATACACACATTCATGCTGCATTAGAGTTCTATGATGCAAGCATGTGTTGGTACTAGTACCACTTTACAGAAGAGGAAACGAGGAAGCCTGAGGCACACAGAATTAATAACTTGCTGTTGGTCACACTGCTAGTGGAAGAGCCAGGATTTGAACCCAGGCTAATCTGGCTTCAGATCTCCAGCTACATCATTCTACTATACTGCTTATCAAAAAAAACGACATAATTTAAGAAGTCATTGCACAGTTTCTTGTTTTGTTTGATTTGTCCTAAGGCAGTGCTAGTTTGGAAATCATTTAAGAACATGATTTCCATCACTTTTTGTTTTACAAATGATGTAATGAAAGGTTTGTGAGTTTGCTATTTGTCTTGTAGTAATTCCTTATTTTATTAAGGTAGACTTTTTTAGACTTAAAATTCTAGTATTTTGGAATTTGCTAAGTAAACACTCAGTCCATCGATTTTTCTTTTTTCTTTTTTTTGCCATGCAGAGCACCATGCAGGATTTTCATTCCCCAAGCAGGGATTGAACCTGTGCTCCCTACAGTGGGGGCATGGAGTCCTAACCACTGGACTGCCAGGGAATTTGGGGACATTTTCTGGTTTTAAAAACGCTACATGGAGAAGGAAATGGCAACCCACTCCAGTGTTCTTGACTGGGAAATCCCATGTACAGAGGAACCTGGCCTCCATGGGGTCATGTCTGAAGAGGAAACGGTCCCACAAAAGCTGAGGCACTTGTCAAAGGCCCCTCTAGAGCCCATAACCACAACTACTGAAGCCCACGCACCCCCGAGGCTGTGCTCTGCAACAAGAGAAGCCACCGCGATGAGAAGCCCACACACCGCAACTCTCCCACATACTGCAGCCAGAGAGTAGCCCTGTTTGCCGCAACCAGAGAAAAGCCCATGCAGCAACTGAAGACCCTGCACGGTCAAAAAGAGGCATTAAAAAAAAAAAAAGTTTTAAAGGGAAAAAAGTAATTCCCTTAGAATTTGATTCTACTTCAAACAAAGCTTTCATAATTAATAAGCTTTTCTTTGGGAAAGTGGAATCATCAGATAAAGTGCTCTGAAGTGACAGCACCCACAGAATAATCAAACCTGTATGTTTGTTCACCATGAGTTGTGTTAAAGTCTTTGTTAGAATTATCTACTGCTGATTTTCTTCTTGATGGGATTTAACGTTCTCAATCTAACACTGGCAGAAAAGGTTACCACAATACCACATGACTCATTTTTGCATCAAATAAGTGCCATACTTTATAAGTTCTCCAATATGCTTATAATGTTCTACATAATTCTAGACCATGGTTGGGAATCATCATGCATTGATATTGTTGTTTTGGTCTAAGGCAGTGAGTAGGTCTTGAACTGTGTCTGAATATTAGAATCACTCAAGGAAATAAACTGCAAAACTCCTCATTTAAACAATGCTAGGGTCCCTTCCCAGCTATCAATCCCTGGGAGAGGGGCCAAGGCAATCATGTTCTGGGAGCTCTTCAAGCAAGTCTGTTAGGGTTGAGAGTCACTGCGCTGGAGTGTTGTTTTATTTTTTTCTTTCTTTTGGGCCAGGGGTTTTTATGCACCATAAAGCCTCAACTGTTAGTCATTGAGAGCTCTCTTTAAAACAGTGTTAACAAACATTTCATGGTAGGCTCACACCAGCTGTTTGAATTCTGCAAATCTTTAAAAAGGTACCTATATATTCTTTTTCAAAATATTTTTCCCCAAGGTTTAAATACACTTGTTACAAGAAGCCCTACTGAGCAGAGCCTTATAAACTAATGTGTGTGGTCCCAGGATGTCAGCCATGGAGAGAGGTCATGAAGGTCAGATACAGAAGGTCACTGTAACTGAAGGCCAAGTTCTAGGGGAGGCCAGCCAGGAATGCAGTAGACATGCAGTTCAGGCTGGGGGTGGTCAGGTCACAGATAAAGGAGAGGACTCCTGCTTCTTGTAGTTCTCCAGGTGTGGCAAGGCCCAGCCCCAGGCAGGAGGAAACAGGAAGCACGAGCTGAGCCCAGTGGCAACATCCATGGTCCTGACTGCTCCTGGAGTGGCTCGGAATGGATCTGGGCACAGGGCACTGGGAGCTGCAGGCCGGGCATGTCAGGACCCTCAGTGGCAGGGATGTCAGTGTAGACAGGACCACACCAGGCAGACTGCAGACAGCTGCCAGCCCAAGCTCACGGTGGGGAACGAGATGTCTGTATTTTCTGATTCTAATTCCTATTGTCCAATTTATCCTGAACACACTTCTGTCAGGTTTTTGTCTCTGACTCTATCAAAGTTGCTCTCTTGTCAACAGGTTGCCAGTCATTTACATATAACTAAACCCAGTGTCAAGTCTCAGTCTTCAAATTACTTTTTTTGGCCATGCCATTCCTTGGGGGATCTTGGTTCCCTGACCAGAAACTGAACCCACACCCTTGGCACTGAAAGCATGGAATCCTAACCACTGGACCACCAGGGAACTCCCCCTCAAATTACTTTCGGACACACTCCCTTGTCCTTGAAGTATTTTCTTCTGTTGGCTTCTGGAACAGTACTGCTCAACAGAATTTTAGTGATGATGTAAATGTCCTCTATCTGTCCTGTCCCTGTCAACAGCCAAAAGCCACATGAAATGAGCCCTTGAGGTGCGGCTAGTGTGACTGAGGAACTGAATTTTTTACATTTTAATTCAACAGCCACAAGTGGCTAAACAGCCCAATTCTAGATACGTTTCTATTAGTCTTCTTCCTCACCAGCTTTTCATATGCCCTTTGCTGCTTCCTCTTTGGGGCATCTACTCAATTTCTAAGAGGTGGCATGCCCACGTTTTCTTTTCTACTCTCTTGTCATCTTATCCAGGCTCATGGCTTTAAAACCCAAATTTCTATCCTGAGTTCCAGTCTTGAATAGCTAACCACCTACCTGATATTTACTAAGGTATCTTACCAGGCACCTGCAATTTAACCTACTTAAAGATAAGCTGCTGATCTCTCCAGCCACCAAAATCTGCTCAAGTCCCCTACAAGTCTACTATTAAACAAGTGGTGAGGGATCATTTAAAAATGTTACTCTTCTCAAAAATCCTTCTATAGCTTCCCTTCTCAGAATAAAAGTCAAAGTCCTTAGCGTGGCACACAAAGTTCTAAGTGGCCCCGACTCCATTTTCTGCTGCCCCCCCACCCTTGCTCCACGCCACCCATACTGGCCTTCCTGCTGATTCCAGAGCAAGCCAGAAAAACATGTTTCAGGGCCTCTGGGCTCAGTGTACCTCCTGCTTGGATGCTCAGCTCTGACCAGCTCCATCATGTTCTTTAGACCTCTGTTCAACTGTCAGCTTGGTGAGGCTGCCTCTGACCACCCTATTTAAAATGAACCACCTGCCTCCCCCGCTTTTCTCCAGAGCACTTCCCATCATATGACACGTTACACATTTTGTCAGAATCTAAATTCCATAAGAGCAGGCACTTGTCTGTTCATGTCATGTACCCTATGCCCAGAACAGTGCCTGGCACAGAGTAGGTCCTTAGTAATCACTTACTACATGAATGATTTTTACTGCCACTCGACAACTCTCTCACTAGGCTACAAAACAATCCACCTCACTGTCCAGAGAGAAAAAAGATTAAGGTTATTGAGTGCATGGGTTTCCCTGGTGGCTCAGATGGTGAAGAATCTGCCTGCAATGCAAGAGACCCGGGTTTGATCCCTGGCTCGGGAAGATCCCCTAGAGAAGGGAATGGCTTCCCATGCCAGTATTCTTGCTTGGAGAATCCCACGGACAGAGAAGCCTGGCAGGCTCCAGTCCATGGGGTCGCAAAGAGTCAGACACGACTGAGGGACTACCCCTTTCCAAACAAAAACAAAGTGCGTAGCATAATGTGTCACATGTTCTAGGTAAGTTTGGTTATTAAGCTCTTTCGGGTTTCAGCATGTGGGGATAATTTCTTTCCAAGGCCAAGATTTAAAATGAGTCTCCCAATGTAGTTTTGCCAACAACTCTTGTGATGTTGGCTGTCTTGGGATTTTTCTTACAGATGTGAGAAAAACAAAGACCACATTCACAAACACGGTTTTCAGAGTCACCACTTAGAAGTTCTTAAATTACAATCATGAAGACAATGGTTCCCTAAACCACCAAACATATGCAGCAAGTATCCTGACAACATCTTAAAGCTACAGAATGCACTTTTAGTACTCTGGTATCAGGAGGCAATATCTTGGCCCTAAAAAGCACTCACTTAAACTAGCAATGGTGCCTCTAGAAGTTACTTCTATGCCCAGCAGAATTTTGGCATGAGAGTAAATTTCTATTTAAAACTGTACCTAATAGCCTTGTGCTGCTCCAATATGAGCTGCTACTTTTTAAAAGATATAAATAGAGGCTTACTGTCTAGCATTCACTGTTTCCTGGGCCATGTCTTTAAATAGAGCAATTCTGATCCCAAAGGTCACCTGAGAACTGGAATAGTTACAATAACACTGGGAAATTCTTTTTATACTTTGAGAATAATGCACTCGCTAGAGGGTTACAGCTTTTTATACAGTTGTAATGGACTGTATAAACGAACCAATGCAATGGACATGAACTTTGGGAGACTCTAGGAGATGGTGAGGGGCAGGGAGGCCTGGCGTGCTACAGTCCATGGGGTTGCAAAGAGTCAGACACGACTGAACAATAGAGGGTTACAGCTAGGATCATCAGTTTTAGAAATACCTCCTCTTTTATTAAAGTTACCCTATGCCGTATTTAGCCCAGCTCTCTTAACCTCTTTAGAAACTGCATTCTACTCCCCCCTTCTGACATAACAGTAGTCAGATGGGAAATGCAGACATTTTAAAGCCTGGATTGCTTCATTTCTGACCTGAATTACTTACAGGACAATGTTTTAAACTGTTAACATGGCTGAACTGCCTTCTTTAAAAAGCGTGGGGGCACACGACCCAGCAATCCCACTCCTGGCACACACACCGAGGAAACCAGAACTGAAAGAGACGCGTGCACCCCAATGTTCATCGCAGCACTGTTGACAATAGCTAAGACACGGAAGCAACCTAGACGTCCATCAGCAGACGAATGGGTGAGAAAGCTGTGGTACATAAACACAATGGAATACTACTCAGCTATTAAAAAGAATGCATTTGAATCAGTTCTAATGAGGTGGATGAAACTGGAGCTTATTATACAGAGTGAAGTAAGTCAGAAAGAAAAACACCAATACAGTGTATTAACTCACATATACGGAATTTAGAAAGATGGTAATGACGACCCTGTATGCGAGACAGCGAAAGAGACACAGAGGTAAAGAACAGACATTTGGACTCTGTGGCAGAAGGCGAGGGTGGGATGATCTAAGAGAATAGCACTGAAACATGTATATTACCATATGTGAAACAGATCTCCAGTCCAGGTTCAATGCACAAAACAGGGTGCTCAGGGCTGGTGCACTGGGAGGACCGTGAGGGGTGGGATGGGGAGGGAGGGGGGTTCAGGATGGGGGACACATGTACACTCATGGCTGATTCATGTCAATGTACAGCGAAAACCACTACAATACTGTAAAAGTAATTAAGCCTCCAATTAAAACAGACAAACAAAAAAAGCACGGGGGGCTTCCCTGGTGGCTCAGTGGTAAAGAATCTGTCTGCCAATGCAGGAGACACAGGTTTGATTCCTGATCTGGGAAGAGCCCACCTGCTGTGAAGCAACAAAGCCTGTGAGCCACAACTGCTGAACCCCACCTACCCCAGAGCCCACCCTCTGCAAGAAACCACCACAATGAGAAGCCCTGTGCCACCACTAGACAGAACTCCTCCCCTCATCACTCCAACTAAAGAAAAGCCCACGCAGCAATGAAGATCCAGCATGGCCAAAAAAACCCCAAAAAACGGATTTTTTTTAAGCACGATTTTTTTCCTGCTTTTGTAGAAAAATATGTAGCACACATTTTCTTTAAATATTTGGCTGCACTGGGTCTTCACTGCTGCACAGGCTTTTCGCTACTCTCAGGTTGCGGTGCTCGGGCTTCTCATTGCAGTGGCTTCTCTTTCACAGAGCACGGGCTCTAGGGCACATGGACTTCAGTGGCTGCGGTTCTTGCGCTCTAGAGCACAGGCTCAATGCTTGTGGCACATGGGCTTAATTGCTCCAAGGTATGGGGGATCGTCCCAGATCAGGGATCGAACTCATGTCTCCTGCATTGGCAGGCACATTCTTTACCACTGAGCCACCAGGGAAGCCCAGCATATGCTTTTTAAAAATGCAAAGAGAACAAAGAGGATACATTGAAAAATCTCCCTCACTCCCAACCCCAATTCCCTCTTCCCACATGCAGTCCGACTCTCCTTTCAGAGATACTATATATGTATCTAGCCAGTACTCTCCACTAGAAGCATTCTACACACTGTCCTGTATCTTGCTAGTTTTCATTTAGCATCATATCTTGGAGATAGAGCCTTAACAACACATGGTCTTTTTGAGTAGCTGCACAGAATTATTGTACTGAAATGCTTCTACTTTAATTAACTAGGGGCTTCTGCTGATAAACATTTAGGTTGTTTACAATCTGCTGCTCTGGAGAAGGAAATGGCAACCCACTGCAGTAATCTTGTCTGGGAAAATCCCATGGACAGAGCCTAGCGGGTTTCAGTCCATGGCACTGCAAGAGATGGACATGACTTATTAACTAAACCACCACTACCAATCCTCTGTTACCAAGAATAATGCTGCAATCAATAGTTCTGTAAATATACCTGTGTATATGTATGCCATTATCCATAGGATAAATTCTATCAGTGAAATTGCTGATCGAGCAACTGCTGATAGGGCCCAAGAGCATGCATCTTTTGACAGAGTCAACTTGACTTATAAGGAGCTTATACCAATTTACACTCTCACCACCAGCATCTTATAGATTTCACACCCTTTTCAGCTCAATATTGCATCAAAACTTTTGACCTTTCAGTCTGAAAAGTAAAAAAAGGATTCTGTGTTGTGGTTTTAATTTTCATTTCTTTGAAATGAAATTTCTGTTGTCTTTCTGACTTGTACACACGAGAGCTATAAAAGGCATATTAGTTCTCGGTCATTTCTGTTGAAAACACTAAATACTTTACCCCACTTTGTCTTTTAACCTCATTTACAGAATGTTCAGAAATTTTTATTACATATAATTGTATTCATTAATCTTTTCTATCACAGTGTTTAGATTTCTAAAAGTCTTGCTTAGGTATCCTTACTCACTCTGATACTATTAAAAAAAAAACTCAGTCCATTTTTAGTACTTTTGTGATTTTTTTTTAAATGTTATTTTATACACTAAAAATCTTGAATCTACCTGAAATTATGTTCATAGTGAGAAAAGAACCCAACTTTATCACAAAAACTAACTCGTTTTTCATTTGTTATTTTACAACTATCCTCCAATTTCTATAATAATTTTACATGCTAATCTCATTATATACTTAAATATGTAAGATGAAATCACAAAATGATCATAGTATAATTTCCCCAAACATGTTAATTTATTTGTAACTACCGTAGTTACATCATTGCAAACTCTAATACAGTTTTAACTCAGTGGTGCTCAGCTGCCCACCAGGGTAAGTTCAAACAGGAATTTCTTGTAATCATTTTATCACAACATAGTGGTTGAAAGTGAGTTAAAAAGCCTATGTTTTCAGGATGTTTTGTGTATGTGCCTTACTGCAGTATGTTAGTGTATCATATGATACACTATATTTGTAAAATAAATTAATTCTACTGAGGAATAGGTGTAACTTTAATAGGCTAAATAGGATCTAGATAAAAGTACTACAAAATAAACTGAGAGCCACAGATGTCTCCAACAGATTGTCCCATTTGGAAGAAAACATAAATTCTATTTTCTTAAAAATACAAGTCTTCTCAATAAAAGTTTTTTAAAAATTGAGCAGCTTGAAGAAATTCTGATAAAGTACACTTCATAACATGAAGGAGTCAGTACAGGGGGCTAAGCTCCACAGAAACACATAGTATGAGTCCTACCGTCTCAGAAGCCGAGAAAGTTCTGCTGGAGGAAATGTTATTTATTTTTTTTTGGAAGAAATGTTTAAATGTTCAAACTTCCTAACTAATATTGTAGCCAAGCAACAGTAACCTGTTATAAAAGTGAAAGTTCTTGTCCTTGGTCACAGAATTCTATTGAAGTATTTCTTACTGTGACACAAAAGCACTTACTTTTAGAGCACACATCTATTTGTATATGCCCATGCATTTCACATTTAGAACTCCATGTTTCATATTTTAGAAGATTATCTCAGTCTAGCATCAAGCTTATTTTTAGGTAGGAATGTGGGGTTGACTTTCTTGTATGAAAGTAAAGTTGTGGAGCTGTTTCAGACATTAACTGTGTCCTGTATGCCTGTGGCTATTGTTACTACCTTTTAAAGGCAGCACATTAGTAAACCAGCAAGGGACTTCTCTTCTACTGGTTCTTCAAACTACTCCCTCACACCTTCAAAACCTTTTTTGTCATACATGTGGCTCACTTAACGAAGACAGTATTAGAATCAGAAGATGATCCATCAGATGTATAACCCAGACCTCCAAACACCAGACCACAAGCATGAATGTCTTGCTATTTCTTCTTTATAAACTTATTTACTAAAACAAAGGAGATAAAATGTTCGGGAGCCAAGTTCAGGTATTACTTTAAAACCATGAACTATTTTAATTTCACACATTAGGGTTTTTTTCTTATTTATTTATTTGGCTGTACCGGGTCTTAGATGCAGCACTCGGTATATTTATTTGCAGCATGTGGGATCTAGTTTCCTGACCAGGAATTAAAACCAGGCCCTGTGCATTGGGAGCCTGAAGTCTTAACCACTGGATCACCAGTGAAGTCCCAAGCTTTTTTTAAGGAATGTATAAAGATAAAAGATTATTGTAAATCAGTAATGGATTTACTTCAGCTGAAGTTCCAAGGTTAGAGACATACCACAAACTAAACAAACAAGGTAATTTCTGACCATTTATAACTTTTTCAAGTTGGTATTGTTTTAATTACATAAAAGTACTTGGTAGAAGCCTGATGTTCCAAGTAAAACAATGCTTTAACATACAAAAAGGTGTGTAAATTCAATTTCCTTAATACCATGTACTTTGTAAGCTACAGATTTCAGAATGTGTAACTGCAAAAGTACTACGGTAATCTTTTAAAGGCTGTGTGTATAACCCAGCTCTGCCAGTAAGTTCTGTAACTCAGGGAAAATACCTAAGATTCAATTCATCTCTGAGTAAATCATATAATCTGTAAGGTTACTTCCAACTCTAAATTTCTGTGACTACTTGTATTTCAGTAGGTACCTGTTACTTGATTTTATTCTCTGTAGTTTAGCTATCAAAATGAATCAGGAAACATATGTGCAGTAAATGAAAAATACCTTAGTCCCTCTGACAAGCAGAAAAGGAATACATACACACACACATTTTAGGAATATATATATATATTTAAAGGACCTGATAGTTCCTTGTTAATCAAAATCAAAGTCTGACTACAGAATGACATGAAATTATCTAAGTTATAGTCAACACAGGTTGCTTACCTAAAGACTTATATCCGTGTTAACATAAACAGTGTATCACAGCATAAAAGCACACCCCAATTTGACTCTCTTAAGGTACAAGATAAGCATCTATCTATTGAGTGGTATCATCTCCAGAAGTCTGTATATTGAGTTCAGGTGTGGATTCAAGGTTTTCTCGGGTCTTTTCCCTTCAGTATTTCCCACTATTCCCATTTTCCTTCTACTTACATGGAATTGCCATTCTTAAATTTAAATTAATTAATAAATTTATTTGGCCGCACCAGGTCTTAGTTGTGGCATGTGCAGAATCTTCAGTCTTCATTTCGGCATGGTGGGTCTTTAGTTGTGGCATGCAAACTCTAGTTGCAGCATGCAGGATCTAGTTCCCCGACCAGGAAAGGAACCCAGGCTCCCTGCATTGGGAATGCAGTCTTAGCCACTTGACCACCAAGGAAGCACCTGCCATTTTTAAATTTAACACCTCATTTTCATCACTTGCTCATGTCAGTTCCTTGAAATGTCCATAAACCTTGACATATATTTTTATAACAGAAGCAAAAACATGTAGACACCACACAATTTAATCCAATGGGTATTTAAAAAGTATAAAGTAAGAATTCAGTTGCCAACTTACTGGATATTATACATTATTAAATGTCTATTTTATTTCCATGATCTGAAACTGACTTCTCACCCAAGAAAAGTGATTCATTTCTAAGCATTTATGTCTTTCTTTGATGAAAACAGAAGAAAAGTTTCTCTTTGACAGAACTGTCCCAGGGAAAAAAAACAAATGCTTTCCAAATTAAGAGCACAAGTCTTCCTTAAAAGTCAGTGTGTGGTAAATAAGATAAGGTAGCAGTCTTTTAAATTTCATAAAAGCTAGTTAAGGTGGTGTTTTTTGCCGTTTCGCAGATGGTCCATCTGAATTAGTTCTGTTATCAGTGTTATTTTCATCTTCTGAATCATCTTCATCATCACCTTTTAAAACAAATATTTGTTGTATGACAATATGTTCAGTGGTTGAGAGAAATATAAATAAAATGGTTGATAATGAGACCATTTCATTTCAGGGATTAATAAAACAATGCATATATCAAATCAGCAATATGTACAGTTAAAAAGACTGCAGGAATTATGATGTTTAAAACCTTTCTCTTCTATCACTTTTTTTTGAGATATAATTCATACACCATAAAATTCACTTTCAAAGTGTACAGGTTATTGATTTAGATAGTCACTAGGTTATAAAACCATCACCACTAATTCTAGAATACATTTCATCTTCCAAGAAAGAAATCTCATACCAATTAGCAGTCACTTCCCATTCCTGGGTCGGGAAGATCCGCTGGAGAAGGGTTAGGCTACCCACTCCAGTTTTCCTGGAATTTCCTTGTGGGTGAGTTGGTAAAGAATCCACCTGCCTTGCGGGAGACCTGGGTTCAATCCCTGGGTTGGGATGATCCCCTGGAGAAGGGAAAGGGTACCCACTCCAGTATTCTGGCCTGGAGAATTGCATGGACTATATAGTCCATTTGGTCACAAAGAGTCGGACATGACTGAGCGACTTTCACTTTCACTTCCCATTCCCCTTAGCCCTTGGTGATCACTAATCTACTTCCCTCATTTAACGTATATGCAGAGTGTATCATGAAAAATGCTGGGCTGGATGAAGCACAAGCTGGAATCAAGACTGCCGGGAGAAATATCAATAACCTCAGATATGCAGATGATACCACCCTTATAGCAGAAAGAGAAGAGGAACTAAAGAGCCTCTTGATGAAGGTGAAATAGGAGTGAAAAAGCTGGCTTAAAACTCAACATTCAACAAATGAAGATCATGGCATCTGGTCCCACCACTTCATGACAAATAGATGAGGAAACAATGGAAAGTGAGACTTTATTTTCTTGGGCTCCAAAATCACTGCAGCCATGAAAATAAAAGATGCTTGTTCCTTGGAAGAAAAGCTATGACAAACCTAGACAGCGTATTAAAAAGCAGAGACATCACTTTGACAACAAAGGTCTATACAGTCAAAGCGATGGTTTTTCCAGTAGTCATGTATGGATGTAAGAGTTATAAAGAAGGCTCAGTGCCAAAGAACTGATGCTTTTCAACTGTGGTGTTGGAGAAGACTCCTGAGAATCCCTTGGACTGCAAGGAGATCAAACCAGTCAATCCTGAAGGAAATCGACCCTGAATATCCATTGGAAGGACTGATGCTAAGCTCCAATACTCTGGCCACCTAATGTGAAGAGCCGACTCATTGGAAAAGACTCTGATGCTGGGAAAGACAGAAGGCAAGAGGACAAGGGGACGACAGAGGATGAGATGGTTGGATGGCATCACCAACTCAATGGACATGAGTTTGAGAAAACTCCAAGAGCTGGTGATGGACAGGGAGGCCTGGCGCCCTTCGGTCCAAGCAGTCGTGAAGAGTTGGACACGACTGAGCGACTGAACAACAAAAATCTGTTTCCTTATCCCTCTGTCTGTTCTGGACATTTCATATAAATGAATCAAAATATGTGGCCTTTTGAGTCTGCCTTCTTTCATTTATGCTTTCAAAGTACATTCACACTGTATAGCATTTATCAGTACTTCATTCCTTTCTGTTGCTGAGGAATATTCCACTGTATGGATACACGTTTTGTATATCCACTCACAAAATGATGGATATTTCTGTTATTTCTACTTTTTAGTTATTATCAATAATGCGGCTATGAACACGTGTGCATTTGTTTTTATGGGAACATGTTTCCAGCTGTCTTGGGAGAACTTGGGAGTGGAACTAAGAACCTCTAGGACTAGAACTGTTGGGTTGAATGATAATTTTACATTTAACTTTTCTGAGGAACTATCAAAGTGTTTTCCAAAGAATGTACCCCATTTTACATTTCCACCAACAACGTATGAGGGCTCCAGTTTCTTCACATCCAGTCAAAACACATGTTACTGTTCTTCAGCCTTCCTGGTGGGTATGACACGCTATGTCATTGTGGCTTTGATTTGCCTTTCTCTAAAAGCCAGTGATGTTCAGCATCTTTTCACATGCTCACTGGCCATTTGTATATCTTATTTGGAGCACTGTCTCTTCAAGTCTTCTGCACACCTGGCAATTGGATTGTCTTTTTTGGTCATTATGATGATTTTTTTTTCAACTGAAGTATAACTGACCCACAACACTATTAGTACAATACCATGACTCAGTATTTCTGTACATACAAAATGATCACCATTTGTCATTTTAGTATTGCATTCTATCACTTTTGTAACTTTTTACATTTAAAAAATTTTATACTTGTTAATTGAGATATTATTCATATAAGACAAAATCCATCATTTTAACCTCTATCACTTTTTTTTCCTGGGCTGCACCACAGGGCCTGAGGGATCTTAGTTCCCCAACCGGGGATCAACCCCGTGCTCCCTGCAGTGGACGCGCAGAGTCTTAACCAGCGGACCACCAGGGAATCCCTCTACCGCGTTCAACAAAGGACGTTCAAACCGAAACTCTTTGGGGGCTTCGTTAAATGTACAAAAGCATGTCCTCTTATACGAAGATATTACTGACCCACTATTAGCAGAACAGGTAGAAATTATTTTTCCAGCAAGCCATTTTTTAAATGGTTCCATGTGTACCTGTCCTTATTCCAATGACAGTATTTTCAATGGTTTAAAGAGGATCTTTTGGAGCCAAAAACCAGGACTTCACGCTAATGCAAACAATCTACTGGCTGAAATTCACGTAATATTCTGAATTGGTTCCATCACATTATCTGGCACTATCAAGATGTAAACAAGATGGAAAGAAAAGAAAGTACAGTACAGTTTAAGCTTCTCTACACAGGAGTTACACCTTCATGATCACAGCCTTGTCATGGTGAAGGGGCTTGCATTATTCAATGAAGCTATGAACCATGTTGTGCAGTGCCACCCAAGATGGATGGGTCATAGTGAAGAATTCTGATAAAACATGGTCTACTGGAGAAGGAAATGCCAATCCACTCCAGTATTCTTGCCTAGAGAACCCCATGGACAGTATGAAAAGGCAAAAAGATGATGCTAGAAAATGAGCCCCCCAGGTTGGAAGGTGTCCAATATGTTACTGGGGAAGAGCAGAGGGCAATTACTAATAGCCCCAGAAAGAATGAAGCAGCTGGGCTAAAGCAGCAATGATGCGATGCTGTAAAGAACAATATTGCATAGAAACCAGGAATGTTTGGAAGGTAAACTGGACACAGTCAAGTAGGAAATGACAAGAGTAAACATCGACATCTTAGGAATCAGTGAACTAAAATGGACAGGAATGGGCAAACTTAATTCAGATGACCATTATATCTACTACTGTGGTCAAGAATCCTTTGGAAAGAAATGAAGTAGCCCTCATAGTCAACAAGAGTCTGAAGTGCAGTACTTGGGTGCAATCTCAAAAATGACAGAATGATCTTGGTTTGTTTCCAAGGCAAACCAGTCAACATCACAGTAATCCAAGCTGATGTCTCAACCACTGATGCTGAAGAAGCTGAAGCTGACTGGCTGTATGAAGACCTACAACTTCTAGAATACCAAAAATGATGTCGTTCTCATCATAGGGGATTGGAATGCAAAAGCAGGAAGTCAAGAGATACCTAGAAAAACAGGCAAGTTTGGCCTGTTTCAAAATGAAGTACAAAATGAAGCAGGGCAAAGGTTAAGAGTATTGTCAAGAGAACATGCTGGTCATAGCAAACACCTTTTTCAAATAACCCAAGAGACAACTCTACACATGGACATCACTAGATGGTCAATACTGAAATCACATTAATTATGTTCTTTGCAACTTAAGATGGAGAAGCTCCACACAGTCATGATCTGGAGCTGACTGTGGCTCATATCATGAACTCCTTATTGTAAAATTCATGCTTAAATGGAAGAAAGTAGGGAAAACCACTAGGCCATTCAAGTATGACGTAAATAAAATCCCTTATGATTATAGTGGAGGTAACAAATAGATTCAAGGGATTAGATTTGCAGACAAGAGTGCCTGAAGAACTATGGATGGAGGTTTGTAACACTGTGCAGGAGGCAGTGACCAGAACCATTCCAAAGTAAAAGGAATGCAAGAAGGTAATGTGGTTGTCCAAGGAGGCTTTACAAAGAGCTGAGGAAAGAAGAAAAGTGAAAAGCAAGGGAGAAAGGGAAAGATATACCCTTCTGAATGCAGAGTTCCAAAGAATAGTAAGGAGAGATAAGGTGGCCTTCTTAATGAACAATGCAAAGAAACAGAGAAAACAACAGAATGGGAAAGACAGATCTCCAAGAAAATTGGAAACACCAAGAGAACATTTCATGCAAAGACAGGCACGATAAAAGGACTAAAATGGTAAGAACCTAACAGAAGCAGAAGAGATTAAGAGTGGCAAGACTACACAGAAAAACTATACAAGAAAAGTCTTAATGACATGGATAACCACAATGGTGTGGTCACTCACCTAAAGCTGGATATCCTGGAGTCTGAAGTCAAGTGGACCTTAGGACTATGAACAAAGCTAATGGAGGTGTTGGAACTCCAGCTGGGCTATTTAGAATCTTAAAAGATGATGCTGTTAAAGTGCTACACTCAATATGTCAGCAAATTTGGAAAACTCAGCAGTGGCCAGAGGATGGGAAAAGGTCAGTTTTTATTCCAATCCCAAAACTGCATGCGGGTCAAGAATCAACAGTTAGAACTAGACATGACAACAAACTTGTTCAAAATTGGGAAAGGAGTATGTCAAAGCTATATATTGTCACTTTGTGCTTATTCCAAGCTGGATGAAGCACAAGCTGGAATCAAGAGTGCCAGGAGAAATATCAATAACATCAAACATGCAGATAATACCACCTTAATGGCAGAAAGTGAAGAGGAACTAACGAGCCTCTTGATGAAGCTGAAAGAAGAAAACGAAGAAGCTGGCCTTCATGACAAATAGAAGAGGAAAAAGTGGAAGCAGTGACAGATTTTATTTTCTTGGGCTCCAAAATCACTGCAGACAGTGACCGTAGCCATGAAATTAAAAGACACTTGATCCTTGGAAGAAAATCTATGACAAACCTAGACAGTGTATTAAAAAGCAGAGACATCACTCTGACGACAAAGGTCTGTCTAGTCAAAGCTATGGTTTTTCCAGTAGCACGTACAGATGTGAGTTGGTCCATAAAGAAGGCTGAGTGCTGAAGCATTGATGCTTTTGAACTGTGGTGCTGGAGAAGACTCTTGAGGGTCCCCTGGAGAGCATGGAGATGAAATCTGTTAATCCTAAAGGAAATCAACCCTGAATATTCACGGGGATGGACTGATGCTAAAGCTGAAGCTCCAATAATTTGGCCACCTGATGCAGAGCTGACTCACCGGAAAAGACTGATGCTGGGAAAGATTGAGGGCAGAAGGAGAAGGGGGAGACAAAGGATGAGATGGCTGGATGGCACTGCAGCTTAAATGTGCATGAATTTGAGCAAACTCTGGGAGACAGAGAAGGACAGAGGAGCCTGGTGTGCTACAGTCCATGGAGTTGCAAAGAGATGGACATAACTGAGTGGCTGAACCTCAACAACGACAAAAGGGGAAGTAAGCCCTGATTCCAATATTTAGTTCTTAGGTTCTTCAGCTCAGGGTATTCAAGACAAGACTTAAGGATACGGTTAAATTTTCCGTTTCTGCTTTCAAACTGCACCTACCACAATGGGAAATGAAAGGAGTCCCAGACAGTGAAGCCTTGTTCATCTGAAATCTATTCCAATCTTCAGAATCTGTTTCTATTCTGTAATAGATGGCAGTCTTCCAAACATATTTGTAAGTTCACGCCTGGGAAAATTCCTTTCCATCTTTCTAAGCCCAGCTTAGAAGTCATGCTCTCTCTGAAGCCTTCTTGGGTTCTCTAGGTTTGCAATAGTTACAGAGAAGCCTAGGGTCATTCCTTCTACTCTTTAATAAGAATGTCTGTCTGTCTAACCTCCCACAGAGTTCCACAAGAACAGGAAATGAGTCGCATTCACTTCATTCTTTCTCCAGAGTTCAGCCCAGTGACTGGCACAGGGCCATAGGCGTTCAGTACGTTTTTTGTGTGACATAAATGAAAAGAGAATCGTGAAAAGCAGTCCTACTAAATGAGTCCACGTACAGCCCAAATTTAGCGAAAATAGCTAAAAATTTTCATTTGGAATTCTTCTTCCCCCGAGGCTCACCTTCTCCAAGTTTGTCACTCTACACGTGTCATTTCCCCGACTCCGGGCGCCCCTGCCCGCCCTCCTGTCGCTCCCAGAACCGTCTCAGAGCTCACCGTCCAAGGCCTCGTCGGGAGCCGCCGCCACCCGGTCCTGTGCTTCCTGCTGTACCTGAGAGCCGAAGAGCTCAGTCACCAGCTCCCTCATCTGAGCCACACCGGACAACAAGCTCTGGAAAGGGTCGGTGACGCCCGGCGCCTCACAGGGCACCCGTAGCTGCTGTCGCTGCCCATCCAGTCCGATGTACTCGCCCAACAGCTCCATAGCGACCGCTACGCTTCAGGAGCGCGCCACAGAGAGGCGCCACCGGAAACGGAAACCAGTACGCCGCGGGCGCAGGCGCGGAGAAGTGAGAGGAGCGACTTCCTTTTGTTGGAAGTCGCTCCTCCCCCTTCCTTCGCTCCCCGTCTTTGGGATTGGTGCCTGGCGCCGCGGCCCCGCCTCCTCCGGCCCCGCCTCTCGCGGCCGCTTTTCCCGCCTCCGCCGGGGCAGATCCGCGGTCCGGGTGACAGTTGAGGATGGCCGGAGCCGAGGAGCCAGCTGGGCGACAGTCGGAGTTGGAGCCCGTGGTATCGTTGGTCGATGTACTTGAGGAGGACGAGGAGCTGGAGAATGAGGCTTGCGCCGTCCTGGGCGGCAGTGACTCGGAGAAGTGCTCCTACTCGCAGGTGGGCGCGCGGCCCGGGCCTCGCCTCCCCCAGGCTCCCCTGAACCTCCCTTTCCCCACCTGTCTTTCCCTCTCACTTCCCGCCGGCCGCAGCCCGCACCCCATGGTGGTCCGGCGCAGCTGTTAGTCGTAGGCTTCCCCATCCCAGGCCCAGGTGCCCTTTTACCCTTAGTCTCCTGAGCCCCCTTCCTAACCTGTGGCCAGCAGGACGCCCCTCCTTTCTGGATTTTCTTCTGTCCGGCCCCCGACGTTTCTCCGGTTTTGGCCCCGGAGCAGCTGCGTTTTCCTTCCTTCCTCGTCTCTTCTCGGTGCCCCGGCCGCTTTTCACCAAACCAACTCCGTGACCTCTCACATCCTGAGCATCTTTGTCCCTACTTTTCCCATCCTCGGTGTGTTTGCTGGGTATTAAACGGGAGAGTCAAAGCAGAGTTAAAGGAGAAAGCTCTGGGTTTGAAAATCTCTCCGCGTAGGCTGGACTCCTGGACAGCTGGTTCCTCTGCAATTTAGTTTGACAAGTGCTAGCTGGTTTTTTGGCGAGAGGAAGCAAGACCACGTCTGTCTGCAGTCGGCCCCCCAGGGGGATAGACCGGAACCCGAACAGCTGGTGGCACTGGCAAAGGAAAGGAGGGGAGGAGAGGTGGCATTCGGAAGATGGTGGGAACAGGGACTGGAGGGCGTGTGACGTAGTGTTTGGTGACTCATCCTATGTTTCTAGGTTCAAAAATGGAGAATGGTGGGTAGAAGAAAACTAAAGAGAGATGATACTTGATAGGAAGAAGAAGGTTACCTTCCAGGCCGGTGGAGTGGAACATTGCAGGATGTGGAGAGAGACGTGGGGTCTTTATATGGTGTGGCCTGAGATCACAATACCAGTCGTCATCAATGACCAGTTTACACTGCAAAGTGGTTAGATTTTTTTTTTTTTAATACACCTGGCATCAGAGGTATTTAATGTTGGCTGATATTTTAAAACCTTTGGTCGCCACTGAAACAACTTTTTCTCTGCTTGCCTTAAAAAAAAAAAAAAGCCTGTATGTAAGTTATTTTTGAAAGGTAGTTAGATTTTTAAAACTGACTTCCTTAAAAAATTTTTTTGTATTGTTGTAAAATATGTGGAAAAGTGCAGAAACCATGTATAAGTCTTAGGAAAGCAAAACCGAAAACACATGCAGGTACATACCACCCAGATCAAGAAATAGAACATTACCAGCATCACAGAAGCTTTCCTGGGTCTCCCTTCTTCCCAGAAGATGGCAGCCATTATCAGGATTTGCTTTTCTTTCAACTTTTTATTTTGAAATGTTTAAAGTCTACAGTTAAAGTGAAAAAATAATATTATGAACACCTGTGTACCTTCACATATATTCACTTTTTAGCATTTTACCACATTTGTTTTATCTTTTACTTCTTCTCTGTAATATACTTTGCTTTTTTTTTCCTGAACCAATTGAAAATAAATTTCAGACCATGACACTTCAACTCTAAATATGTCAGCATACATCTAAAAATCAAAGGGATTCATTTAATGCATTGGTTTTCTCTTTGGTGGAATCACAAGCATTTTCCAGAATTAAAGTATGATTATTCCTTACGTAAGCATACACACATTCTCCTGTATTTTCATGTGTTAAAATAGTTAAGCAGACCGTCTTATTCACAGCTGACTGAAAATGTTAACTTCTATCACTTTGAGAAAAAGTTATATGAAACGTGTATGAAACCTGCAGCAGTGTTTTGGTATTCTATTGTATATGCTTTTTTATTAGTCTCTGGTTTTTACAGGAAGATCTTGACCACAGATAATCTGATTTCAGTTATTTCTCAGATCATAGTATGGGCATTAGGTCACTCTGCCAATGTTTCATCAGTTTTCTGACTTTTTTCATTTGGGGGCTGTCTTTTAGGGTTCAGTAAAGAGACAAGCACTGTATGCCTGCAGTACCTGCACTCCAGAGGGAGAAGAACCAGCAGGAATTTGCCTGGCTTGCAGTTATGAATGTCATGGAAGTCATAAACTATTTGAGCTATACACAAAAAGGTAAAATGGTCAGAGGATAAATGGTCAAAGGTAAAATGATGCCGGATGCTTTTCAAATGTTCCAGTTGCACTTTTTTTCTTAATCATGTTTTTGCATTCAAAGTAGTTGTGCCCTGGTAAAATTTAATGCAACTGTTTTATATAATATAATCAGAAAGAACAGTTTTTCAAGGGGACCTTTTAAAATATAATTATGGGGCAAACTCAAACTACCCCTGCTGTTCTGCCACTGTTTTGTGTGTGTGTGTGAGATACAGATATTTGTCTTTATGCATGTTAATTTCTTGGAGAAGGAAATGGCAATCCACTCCAGTATTCTTACCTGGAGAATTCCATGGACAGGGGAGCCTGGTGGGCTACGGTCCGTGGGATCGCACAGAGTCAGTCAAGACTGGGCACACAGCACACACATGTTAATTTATAGAATTATTAAATCTTTTATTGTAATGTGCTTGGGAAAATTGCGGATTGGATACATGAACAACAACCAAGTCTAGTTTTTAGATCCTAGAAGCCAGTTGCAAGGGAAGAGGCTATAATATGAATGTAAAGAGTAGTCTTTAGATTTAGAAGAAAAATTAAAATTGGCTCTTCCTCCTTTTTTTCAGAAATTTTCGTTGTGATTGTGGAAACAGCAAGTTTAAAAATTTGGAATGCAAATTATTTCCTGTAAGTAAGCACAGTAAACGATAAATGCATGAAAAATAGCTAAGATTGGTATCTGTCCTACGGGATAAAAACCAAGAATTTTCTTTTTTTTTTTTTTTTTTTTTTTTTTTTTTTTAAGAATTTTCAAAAAGGAAGTTCTGTGCTTCTTCTTTGCAAATGAGCAAATCAGTGTTAGATTGTACCCCATTTTTTACTTGTGAAAACTAAGTAACCTGTTCAGAGCCTACCTTAGATTGTAATTAATATGAAAGGTTTTGGGGGTAGTGTTCTAAAGTCATTCAGGTTTAGTTGTGTTGATTGTGCTCATGCTCTGAGGCTTTTTAAAGAAAAGGGTATGACTTTTAAAACTGAATAAATAAAACTGGGCAATAATGAGCATGGGTTATGTGCATTCAGAAGTTTTTCACTGCTTTTTGGATAATAAAGACTATCTTCTACAATAACTTCCAGTGAAATAACAAAAATGAAACAGAAAATAAGGGACTTTACAGTATTCAATCATGATTGCTAAAGTTGTCATGCTCTTTCCCTCCTTCAAAGATTATTTTTAGACAACTTCCTTGCCTACTTTTTACCTCCTAGTAATTTGGGGCTTTGACTATCACAGCGGGCATTAAGAAGTATTTTGAAATTCTAGACCAGTGTCAGCTTCCATAGGTTGATAGTCATTCTCCCCCAATTGGTACAAAGAAGGTATAGAAAATAAATTTTATTTTTTCCTTGTATTTCCTTGTATCCTGGAGAAAGTATTACTTTATAGGATGAATTTTTTCCCTTGTACTTTGAAGACTAGCTTCCAGGGGAGGGAGGGGGTACAGATATTTAGTGCACAAATTTATTGAACGCATAAATCCCATGATGCATGAAATTATAAAGTTAGGCCATATTTTATATTGAAATTGATATCTTTCAGGACAAAGCAAAGATAAATTCTGGCAATAAGTACAATGACAACTTTTTTGGATTGTACTGCATTTGCAAGAGACCTTACCCTGATCCTGAAGATGAGGTAAGAGATTTGGAAGTCAGCACCAGGACTGTGTCATCTCCAGCCTTCACTCCCCAGCCTCTTGTCACATTTGGCCCTTTATCTGTTCAGCAGGGATTGGGGATTGTGAAAGTATTCTAGATTTACCCCTTTTTATGACTCTGACCTGAAGCTACAAGTACTACAGAGCCCAACTATTTTTCTCTTTCTTACATCATGAGAAATATTGGACAGGACTTTGTTGAGGCCAGAACTTTTTTTCCTTCCTCCCTCTCTTTGCCTGCCTGTTTGCTCCTTTTCTCTGAATACTTTCCAGAAAATGACCTTCAACTTCTTGCGTTCCCAGGAAAAGAAAATAGGGCGCACTAATTGGATTCTCTTAAAAACTTCATTTAGAGGTGTATGCAAAATTTTAAAAGAATTTTTATTCTTCCTCATTCCTGTACCTTCTTACCTCCCAGACATAACCACTGTTAACACTTTTGGTGTATATATTTTTAGACCTTTTCCTGTGCACATATAAGTGAGTGAATGTGTGCTTTAATTTCTAGTTTCCTTTTCTTTTGACAAAGGCGAAATTCTGTAATTCACTGTGCAACTTGCTACAATTCACATTACCTCCCTGGGCCTGGGTTTATTTGTGAAATGAAAATATTATTACTTATTCATAAAGTTTTGTGGTAATCAGATAGTATGTAACTGATATAAAAGTTTTCATAATTACTCACAAAGTGCTTATCTCAATGTAACCCTTTTGTAACCCCAGTTCACGAAGAAAGAACTTCTTTGACCCCTTGAACTGCTGTTTCTCCCTGTCTCCTTGACTTTTTGCATGTGGATAGTGGCCTTATAGAATTGGTAGAAAATTATTTAATATCTGATTCTAATGTGTGCCAGATTTACTTTGATATTCCAGAGTTCATTGTCAGTCAGTTGATTCGCTCAATCATGTCCAACTCTTTGCAACCCCATGGACTGCAGCACACCAGGCTTCCTTGGAGAAAGGAATGGCAGTATTCTTGCCTTGAGAACTCCATGAATTTACTGTAATCATTAACAAACAAATTGTCTTTCTATGTTAGATTCCAGATGAGATGATCCAGTGTATAGTCTGTGAAGACTGGTTCCATGGAAGGGTAAGGAGAGCTTTGACCTTTTAAACCCATTGTCTTTACAAAAAGAAAAGATCTTGTCTTTTTTTAATTTATTTTTTATTTTTTTCTATTTAAAAAAAAATTTTTTTAATACTTATTTATTTGGCTGAGTCTGATCTTGGTTGTGGCATATGGAATCTAGTTTCCTAACCAGGGACTGAACTGAGGCCCTTGACATTGGAAACACAGAGTCTTAGCCACTGGGTCACCAGGGAAGTCCCAAAAAGATCTTGTCTTTTGGAATTCAGTTATATTTCACATTATCACTACTCTTCTAAAAAATACTATAGAGATATGATCAATGGACTGTTGGAATATTTTATAAAACAACAAACTTTTCGGAGAACTTGGTGATGACAAGGAAAATAACTTGGTTTTCTGTGTCCCAGCATCTTGGTGCCATTCCCCCTGAGAGCGGGGATTTCCAGGAGATGGTGTGCCAGGCGTGCATGAAGCGCTGTCCTTTCCTGTGGGCGTACGCTGCCCAGCTGGCAGGTAAGAGTCTGTGGAGTTGGCATGCCTCCAGCCTGGGTCATATGTTCAGTACAAATCAGCACAATTTGTTCAGTATCTAAGTTTCAGCTACTATGTTTCTCACTGTGTACTTTTACTTTATTTTACGTGGTTTGTTTTCTAGCTTTTTATTTTGTATGGGGGAATGGCTAACAAACAATGCTGTGAGAGTTTCAGGTGAACTACAGAGGGACTCAGCCATAAGTACACATGTATCCATTCTCCCCCAAACTTTCCTCCCATCCAGGCTGCCACACAACATTGAGCAGAGTTCCATGTTGCTAACATGGAACTATTTTTAAGGGACTCTGACTTATAGAAAAAAGTATAAGATCTGTTCCTTCTCCACAAGGTGCTTATAGATAGATTGGGAGACTGCCAAGAATCAATTTGTACTTAAATGGCATGATGCAGAATATGGATGAGACCAGATTGGAGAAAATGGAGAAAGCAGTTTTTAAGG